TATTAGTACTGTATTAAGTTTTGTTCTTACTCTTGATAGTAAAGTGATAAGTGATTATAGTGAAATTACTCTNGTATTAGTGGTCGAAGCAGTTTCCTTTCTACTAGTTGATTTTGACTTTTGAAGTGGTGGTCTTCCTCTTTTAATTGGCGAGCGTTGCATATTAATTATGTTGATAATTTTTCCAACAACTTATAATGTTAACACACAGCCCAAACAAATAAAATTTTAACGTAAAATTATTAAACAGGATACATTCTTTACCTGTATTTGAAGTGAGTAAAAAAACGCGCCAGCAGCTTCGGCAGACAGAAGCGCCCCCCCCGATGTTCACAAAATATGACAATATGACACCATCCCTTAAGTGCCATCTGCTAAAGTGCTAAATTCTACCATTGCTAGGTTAGTTTGGTGTTTTTTTCTCAATAATAATAATAATAATAATTGAATATCGCCTTAAGTTTTGTTCTTACTCTGAGTGAAGTGATAAGTAATTAGTGAAATAAAAAGTCTTTAAAAAATATTAGTAGCATTTATGAGTTATCTTTTTCTTTTACTTAAATTTAAAATTTTATTTTGTTATATGTATATTATTTACTAACTTTAAAAGAATTGCAGGTTGCCGACCCGTCTTAATGGATGGATGGAGATATTATCTAATATAGCACATCTCCATCTATCCATATCTAATATGCATACCCATCAGCACTCTGGTATTAATACATTTTTTTTAAAAGTAGGGTGAAACCACTTTAGATGAGAACATCTAGAATGAATGGACTTTAGACCATGCACCGCCATCAAAATATCCTGAAAAAATTACTTCTTGCAAAGGTTTTTTGCACTGATGATGAAAATACTGTATAATCATTTTTGGCATTTAAGCCATTTTGCACATATTGTGCTGAAATATTGCGCTTTGTCCATACAAAACTTCACAGACAGTGATGACTCAAAAGGGGTGCCTTGGTACGTTTTAATTTACAACCACCAATGCCCGTATTAAATGTATATAGTTTACTACATAATTTGGTTCGATTTTCAACTATTTTCTTCATTGCAGCTATTATTGCTAAAAATCGTAACTGCTAGTACAAGAGAAGACCTAGTAAAGAAATAATGATAAGTCCTTAGATCTATGAGAGATTTGTATGCAAACAAAATATTTTATAATACAATATATATATAGTATTATAAAATATTTTGTTTGCATACAAATCTCTCATAGATCTAAGGACTTATCATTATTTCTTTACTAGGTCTTCTCTTGTACTAGCAGTTACGATTTTTAGCAATAATAGCTGCAATGAAGAAAATAGTTGAAAATCGAACCAAATTATGTAGTAAACTATATACATTTAATACGGGCATTGGTGGTTGTAAATTAAAACGTACCAAGGCACCCCTTTTGAGTCATCACTGTCTGTGAAGTTTTGTATGGACAAAGCGCAATATTTCAGCACAATATGTGCAAAATGGCTTAAATGCCAAAAATGATTATACAGTATTTTCATCATCAGTGCAAAAAACCTTTGCAAGAAGTAATTTTTTCAGGATATTTTGATGGCGGTGCATGGTCTAAAGTCCATTCATTCTAGATGTTCTCATCTAAAGTGGTTTCACCCTACTTTTAAAAAAAATGTATTAATACCAGAGTGCTGATGGGTATGCATATTAGATATNATCAGAACATTTTAAGTGTAATTAATAATCTAAAACAGCGTTTCTCAAAGTGGGCAATAACGCTCCCTTGTGGGCAATGAGTAAATCTAGGGGGGTGCTGGAGGCAGGGTATTGAACAGTGACCAAAGGCAAAATTGGGGTACATGAAAGCCATTCCCTTTCCTCTGTTAAACTGATAAGAGGAAACATTGCATTTAATGGTTTCCAGATGTTGAGAACAATGTACTTCTAAGCATTTTATTTTTAAGAATTCTATTAGAAAATTTTTAAACAATTTTATTGAGTCAAAAAGTACTGATACCAATTACTTTAATAAACATTTTAGAGAGCATCAAACTTAAGAAAATAAGTCACATATCTAACTGTAAATTCTTCACATATATTGATATTTATTTACTATACATATTTACAGTAAGGAATTTTACTTGTATATTTAAAAAATATGAAAGAATTTACATTACAAAAATATATTATTTGAAACTTGTGGATACTATTATTTAATACATTAACAAAAATTAAAAAAAAAATTAAAAGATAAAGAAATGTTA